CTGAGTTTTCTTCATGGGCATACATGATTGAGCTTTGCAAGATATTTGGACAGGTCTATCTACCCCTGAAATTATCTCACGAAACGCCATGGGTGGAAGACGTGAGTAGAGCCGAGTTCAGGATTATGAACTGGCTGGTTCGCATCCCGAAATGGAAGTGCGATGTCGTTGGGCCAAATGGTGCCGCAGACTGGGTGCTTTACATGGCTCTAGGCATTGCTCATGTGTGAGTGAACTGCGTCACATTTGAAATGTTCCATCATACTGATGACTATCTCAGCGTTAGAGTGAGATTGAGACAACCCGAGGAGCGACTGAGAGTTAGTCTTAAAGAAGGCTTCGCGATGGGGCCTTTGGACAGACCAGCGGCACCAACTGACCCCAAACTCAGCTGGAACTACTGTCCACCAGAGGTAGCAGCCGCCAATGCACTCTGCAGTCTCGTCAAACACCACTCGATAGCTTTGACCCAATGGTGTCCCGTGACTGTCATTGGGCTTGAAAGAATAGCTCTCGCACTCCTTGACGCATGCGTCTTCCTTGGATGCGATACACCCGCCACGCGAGAAAAATTGAGCTTCATATTTGCCGTTCTGAAGCGGCACGGCCAGGTATGGCCAGTTGCCACCCAGATCGCGGCCGGGATCAGAGACGTGGCCAGGACATATTTGCCGTCAACGCCTCGAAATGCAGCTGCCGGTCTCATACCTGAGAGCACCAACCAGCTCTGGCAGATTATGGACGAGACTAATACTATTTCTCTTGATGACAACTTTTTCCAGCAATTTCCCCCACCAGATATGACTTCTTTAGATGAGTGGTTCGTTGGGCAGTGAGCACAAGCGAGAAGTAGGAGGAGTGTACAGGACTTGGTAGATTGCTGATTACAGCATGCAACGCACTGATTGCGTTCGGTAGGTGAGAGGATATGTCGGCCTTGCTGTCGAGCATGCAGTCGAGAAGATAGTTTGTGATGACGATGTAAATGTCTTGGCATTTCACGGGTTTGGCTTACGGGAATATGAGACTTCACCTAAAGTAGTGTACACTGCGATGCCGATATGCCTGGAGTATAGCATTTTAGACTAGGAGCCAACGGTTTGGTTTACCCCTTTGCCATGTGTTTATGCAATAAGCTGTAAGAGCAAAGATGCGTGTGAGACTTGATCACCGAAAGGCGTCCTATCCTAGGACGCGTGCCCAAGCCACTGGGTCCCTCACCTCACACAATTTCCACCTCCTCGGGAACATTAGCAGTCTTCTGTCTTATTTCTTACAGACGACCGTTTTCAGCAGATCAAATCGAGTTTCGTGGCCCCTCCCCGAGAACCGAGACTGAATGATCCGTCTCTCACGTCCTATGACGGCACACCAGCAACATCGATGAACTTTGGCACTTGCTTTCGTGTCAGAAGGCCCTCAATCTATTTCAGATTTGCCCAAATCCTGGACACTAAGTTTTGTGTCTTAGTAAGAACTTATCTACGTGCATGGTGTGTGGGTGGCTGGCAGGCATCGGACCCGTCAAGCATCCGGGAGACCACGGTGCCGGAACATGTGGGCCGAGATACCTGAGCAATGCGGTCCAATACTTTCGACACCCAAGCTCAACTAGAGCCACGGCAGATTGTTCTTCCAAGTGGTGGTGATGTCGGCATATTGGGCCGAAAACTTCGTTCCTAGACTGGAGGCGATCCGCAGCCCTTGCTAGCTCGCCATCGGGGCTTGGGCGCCTATTCCTTGACCTAAACGCTCGAGTCACTAGGTTCCTAGGTCGGGGAAAGGTGGATAGTTATTGCACGATGGCTCATGACTAACTGACAAGGACACCGTGGGGTGACGCTCGTGTGTTTCACTGGGTACATCCAGGCTACAGTGCGAGTGAACAGGTGGCATGGCATCGCGAATCGCGGTTGCCTGTCTGGTTGCTTTGGGCGGCAGGATGCATGAGATTCACAATAGGAGACTATTGGACAAGGAAGAGGCGGGAGACACTTGGCCGTCTGCGGGCTGTGGACTGCATACTCAGCCATCGAGGTCCACTGGGTTGCTTCATTCAGGGGTAAGGGAATGTAGGGGGCATGGGGCCTGATGCTCCTGCGCCCACTTTCCGCACGGATACAACCATCAGATTAAAGGCCCCAGAAGCCAGGGGCTCTAGAGATTCTTGACTCCGGATTAGGTTTGCTTAGACAATCATCATTTTGTCTCATGGAGACGTCCGGGGGAATGTAGGAAGCTATAGGCATGACCTTGACTACCTGTTTGTGTCAAGACATATTGCTTATGAGCCTGATGTTGATATCGTGGACAGAGTACCATTATCATCAATTAGTACTCTTATTATTTCTCATGGCTCATGGCTAAGCCTCGTGCCACATCCACCTATTTAGATCTTACCCCTGGACCCCCGACATTTGGGGGTGTCTGAAGCGGTCAAACTAACAAGACACAAAACCCACATGAAAGTACGATGCATCCACACCCAAAGCCATGGTTGCATCATGATATAAGCTTATTTAGTTCCGAATGTGCTTGGGGTAAATTGAATTCTTTGGAACCGTCAGCCTTGTAAGGCCACGGTTCCCATGCAACGGCGGTGCAGGGGACGGCGTCTCCTAGAGCAATAAACAGAGCTTTGTGACTCCACGATGTGTGGCAGTTGTTTATCTAGCGCAATAGGCTATGAGTTACGCGAGTGGCATCTCGTAACGCTGTTGTGAATGGTGTGGTACGGCCGTTGCAATAGCCTATTGCCGACGCCATCGACGTCTGTTGCTCCTTCGGCAGGACCCGAGTCCCTGCGGGAATACTCTGCTTTACATCCCTGATTCCCTACTTCTTCTGGGAGATTCCCACCCCTAGCTGTCCTTGGCTCGTATTTGAATATTTCCAAATATAGGCCCTGCTCTTCCAGCCCTGCCCCAAATACTTCACCGTGGTGCGGCCCGATTTTCTTGTCTGGCCCCAGGAATAGGTCAGCGGAGACATGGAGATCTGGGGACAATTTACTCCTAGCGATAAAGGACCGGGAACGATTCCCAACGCGTTTGAGGAAATATATCCGCACACCACCTATCCTGGTTACCCAAGGCGCTTCGGAGCAAACCTCCAGATGCACTCGACAGACTCCTCACGACAATACAACAGCGAATGGCTCTTGACAATACACAGGCAGAGACTATCTCATAAAATGAGAGATTAGTTGCGGGTCATAATCGACGCGCTGTATCGGCGAGTATCAAAAACGCATCACGCACTCCTCTCAGGGGCAGCTAGGGGCACAAAACAGCACACGTCGGACTTGGCGCATTTGCGAGCGATCCTCGAACTACGATGCGGCTGTGCTCAATGTCCAAAAGTCGGCCATATAGATTGATTGGTGTAATGACTTGAAGAAATCTAGAATGACAGAGCGTCGAGAGCCCATGTGAAGCTCCTCAGCTTTGGACATTGTGGACAGCGTTTTTGATAACCCGCCAGCACTGCAAGGTTGAGCTGAAAAGAAAGATGAAACAAGCGCTTATGTTCAAGATGGTAAAATGATGTTATCTATGGAATAAACGTGGAATCGGGCCGCAGATCCAACATTGTGGCTAAGGCCACGGGCTGAGCAAGGTGCCTCCATGACATTGCTCTAGGGCTGAAGTATACTTCTCATCTGAAGTCTTCGCGTCAGACGAAGAAAATTCGCACTTGATTCAATATCAATATTTTCAAGGCAAGCTAAATTATGGCGCGGTTACAGCCGGCCCTGAGAGTCCTTGGTCAAGGGAGGCGATCATCACTATAAGATAGGCTATTCCAGGATTACAAGCTCAATCAGGGGCTCTCAAAGCCTGATTCGCAAACTTCCCCAAATCCAAAATATGAAGATGAGTTGATTCCACTTAGGACACTAGTGAAAAGAGATCAAGGGAACTTCGTGGTATGTATTCAGTGAAATTTCCCGTTTGGGATAGACACTTTGACTCCCTCTCGTTTCTTGGCCATCATCTTTTTTGGCCATCATCTTTTTCGGCCAGGTATGATGAATGACTGAGCTCGAGGGCAGCAATTCTGATCCTTATTATCATCATTGACGTCATGAAAAGATACACATTAATTATTATGGATTACTTCACCCGGGCATAAAGTGGCAGAGACAGCTGCAAGGCAGTCTTATATGTGAACACAACCCACACTTCACTGCCCAAGGTCCCTGACCAAGCGATCGTCCCATCTTCCAAATGAAATACACTGACACCAAAACGTCTGACAGGTTACTGGTAGTAAAACCGGTAATAGAAAAAGGAACTCTAGTTATTGTTGATATACTTTCGCCAGTTAGGCGGGCTGTTATCTCTTCAACCAATTGCTAAGTCAGGGGCTCCTGCCCCTGAGTTTGGCTGGGTTCAAACAACATCGGAAGGAAGATGATTGTGACTCCTTCTTCCAAATGCATTGTGTTTTGCTCTCAGAAGAGACCTGTTCGAACAAGACATATGTTTGCAACTGTTTACATAGTGAAGTCGAGCTGGCTGATGTAATGGATGTCGTTGGAATAGAGTGCTTGGGGTGGGTACGAAGCATACAGTGAGGCACCTCTAGGTGGCGAGTGTACCTTGGGGGCGCCTTACCGCCAGCCCGTTAAGCAGGCGATCCCTGTAGAGGCTTTCTTTGGCCCCCCCTCAGCGGGCGCGCACAAGCAGGCAGGCAGGCAGTCGGGCTTGCGGTGAGGGTGCCCCACCACCATTTCTCCCCCACACCCACCCACCTGCACACGTCAATCAACTTGTGCCGTGCCCCTCGCCGGCCTGCCCAACTTGGACTTTTGTTTTCTTTTGGAAGCCTCAAAACCAGAATCCCCTTCGGCGCCCAACATCTATCTGCACCGAGGTCGGCAGGATCGACACAGCCACCGGATCTCTCTAATCCCAACAGCACCAGCAGCACCAGCAGCACCAGCAGCAGCACCAGCAGCCTCGGGCACGTCGTTGGAGGAGACGCGCGCTCTCGCCATGAGCTTCGCCATCGAAGTCCCCGGCGAGGCCAACCCGCTGAACTTGCAGGAGCTCTACAAGGCCCTACAGGGCGCGAATTCCCTCGACAACGCCCAGAGGCAGGCTGCCGGCAAGCAGCTCACCGAGTGGGAGTCGCACCAGGACTTCTATCCTTCTCTACAGGTGTGTCGGGCTGCCTTGTTCCGCTTCCAAAAGACAATACTGACAATCCGCGACACTGCAGACCATCTTTCTCGACAAGACAATACCCCACGATCTCCGCTTCCTTGCCGTCATCGTACTGAAGAATGGCATCGACAAACACTGGCGCCATGCTGCAGCCAAAACCGGGATCAAACCACACGAGAAAAGCGTCATCAGATCGAGGTTGTTTCAGGGAACCCTGGGCGAAGAGAACAAGAGCCTTGCACTGCATAACGCCCTTGTCCTGGCCAAGGTCGTGCGGAGAGACTACCCCGAGCAATGGCCCGAGGCCCTGCCCACCATACTCGATACCCTGAGGGCAACCAAGAGTGGTAACCAAGAGCAGCTCAACGGTGCCTTGGCCATCTTGATCCGGGTGGTCAAGGAGCTGGGTACGGCCCGGCTTCGATCATCTCAGACTGCGCTCCAGGCTATCACCCCCGAGCTCTTCTTTGTTCTCGGAGAGATCTATGCTGAGAAGACTCAAATCTGGGTAAGCTGGCTCACCACTGGCCGAGGGGACGAGGATGATGCAGACCTTGCTATGGAGAACAGCTTAGTTGCTGTCAAGATCCTACGGCGGCTCATGATCATGGGTTTTGAGGTACCGCACCAGGACAAGTATGCACAGGAGTTCTGGTCGGTATCCCAAAGTCATCTGGGCGAATTTCTTGGCTTTATCAGCCACGACTCGGCTGTGCCAGCCCCCTACCAGGACACGGTAGGGAAGCATCTTCTCCAATTCACAAAGCTACATCTGGAAATGTCCGATGTACAACCTGCCAGTTTCGCTCTTCTCCCAAATTCGATACCCCTTGTGCATGCTTATTGGGACCTCGTCGCCAAGTTCGCCGAGGTCTTTGACAAATCAGGTGGCTTACGCCAGAGCACGACAGCAAATGGATCTGAATCCAAGTCCAAGGTGGAAGGCCCGTTGCTTGAGAAACTGGCTCTCAAAGGCCTGCTGCTAATTAGAAATTGCATCTCGATGATCTTCAGACCACAGCAGACTTTCAAGTATCGCAGCCAGGAAGTGAAGAAACAGCAGCAGGAGGCAATCAGCATCATCAAGGCCCAACTGCTGAAAAACGATTTCGTGCTGCAAATCGTTAATGTCATCATAACGAAGCTTCTGATTTTCCGTAAAGCTGATCTCGATGCTTGGGAACAAGATCCTGAGGAATTCGAATCCCAGGAACGCCACTTGGGTGATGCGTGGGAGTGGGAGGTCCGTCCTTGCGCTGAGAGACTATATCTTGACCTCTTGACGCACTACAAGGAGCTCTTAAGTCCACCCCTGCTATCATATTTCCAGTCTGCTGCGAGCGCCAACTCAGATGTTATTACGAAAGAGGCAATCTACACCGCAATGGGCTCAGCAGCAGCAAACTTATTTGAAGTGTTTGATTTCGACGGGTTTCTCAAGTCCACTATTGTGCAGGACGCACAATCTCAGGGGCCGCTGGCCAAGGTATTGCGACGCCGTATCGCTATCCTGCTCAGCCAGTGGGTCCCGGTCAAGATCGAGGACTCTAATCGGGCCCTGGTATTCGATGTCTACCGCCATCTCATGAATCACAATGACGAGGCTAACGACGAGGTTGTCCGGCTCACGGCGGCCAGACAGCTTAAGTATATAGCCGATGATTTCAGCTTCCCAGGGGACATATTTGCAAACTATGCAGCCGACATATTCCAAGAGTTTGCCCACCTTCTCGGGGAGACAGCGGTAACCGAGACCAGGCTCGCAATACTTGAGACGCTGCGCGTCCTTGTTGCTCGCATGGAAGAGCACGTCATACCATTCGCGGACAAAGTCGTTGCATCCGTGAGTTCTCTGTGGGACGAGTATGACGACAAGTATATGATCAAGCAGTCGATCTTAGCATTCCTTTCTTGCCTTGTTCTGTCGATGAGGGGTGCGGCACAGCCCTATCAACAGTTCATGTTACCTCTGATCCTGAAGGCACAAGATCCGCGTTCTGGGATCCATCTATTCCTCATTGATGAGGCTGTGGACTTGTGGAAGGCAATCCTAAGCCAAAGTTCCTCACCATTGACGCAGGAGCTGATAGGCATGATCCCACAAGCTCTTCCGCTCATGGAGTATGTCTCCAACCTTGCCGATGACGGCTTGGAAATCATCAAATCATACATTACTCTTGCGCCGGAGGCTGTGCTGCTGGACAATGTCCGGCAAGAGACGCTCAAGGCGCTGGCGACATCTACAATGTCAAAGCAACGGGAGCAAGTCTTCCACAGCGTGAAATGTCTAGAATTCCTGCTTCGCGCTGCAGCGGACCTCGCGGGCTCCAACGGCATCACAATCATAGTAGAGGACTTGTCACAGATAGGATTTCTCCAGCACATCCTAACGAGCCTGCAGACGGCGTGGGAGTCACATCAGACGACAGGACCGAACAGGAAGAAGAGCCCCATCAGCTCCATTCTCGAGGCAGACTACTTTGCCATTCTGGCGCGGGTGGCCGTCGCAGACCCCACCATATTCGTCAAGGTGATGGAGGCAGCCGGCGAGCTGGGCGGAGTGTGGAAGTGGCTGGGCGAGGAGTGGTTCTCGAGCTTCGACGCCATGGCCGACTTCGAGCGGCAGAAGCTCTCCTGCATGGCGCTGACGCGGCTGCTCGAGCTGCCGCAGCCAATTGAGGGGCTCGTCCTCGAGAGGCTGCAGGACTACTTCGCCATGTGGACGAGCGTGGTGGAGAACATCCGCGACGCGAATGGAGATGACACCCAGATCTGGAGGGAGATGCCGCCGTCCCAGTGGGACATGCCGATGGAGATCGTCGAGAAGCAGTGGACGATGAAGGACCCCGTCCACCAGGTGCACACTTATACCTATGTCATGGAACGGCTACAAAACCTGATCCAGAGGACTGGTGGAGAGGCACAGTTTGAGGCGAACTGGGCCGTGAACATCGACAAGGAAATCTTGGTGGGATTCCGCAACTTGTCGAATCCCCCGCCGAGAGCGGACTAGAAGTTCTGGCCATGAGCGGGCCGGCGTTCATGTTGGATCAATTTGGGACATCAGAGGGAGGGTTGCTCATAAAAGAGGCGAATAGCCTCGTTATATGCGATTTTGGGAGAATGCAGTCATGTGTCATGTAGAATGGAGCCAAACCCCGATACCTTAGCTATGAACAATTATCACGTAATTAGAGAACTCGAGAGATAGAACTGGGTTCCTGCACTAGGACCCTGATTACTATATTGTTATCGAGTGAAAGCTCATTTTAGTCCGGAACTAGAGTAAAGCTATACTTGTGAATCTTACAGCGACTTCTAAATAGCCAGATTGCTAGTTGATAGCCTCTTCGTCGTCGTTTCACCTTCACCCATTTTCGGCTCTAGTCGTCATAATCATAGTAACCATAATCGTCGTCATCATATCCTCCATCAAAACCGCCATCATCGTAGCCTCCATCGTCGTAGCCACCGCCGTTATAGTCACCATCATCATAGCCATCCCCACTATCATGTCTCTCATCAGGCTGCAAATCGTCATAGTCATAGCAAGATGATTGGTCGCCATCAGCATCGCTCAAAGCTTGGTTGTGATCACCGCCGTCGAACTGCGATTCCTGCGAAATATCATTGCGATCATCCCTCACAGAGTGCCGTGCGTCGTGTTCATAAGCATGGTCCTGGCACGGATTCTGGCTCTCGCTGTAGTAATGAGGATCGCTAGACAGGTTGGTGGATTCGCAGCTCGGAGAGTACTCATTGTGATAATCTGCCTGAAATTGGCCTTCAGTCTCGCGATTGTTTTCTGCGCAACCTCCTGAGCTACTACCTCCGTGACTGAACGAGTTCTGGTGGGATTCATCGTTCAGATATTGAGGTCGTTCCAAGCCATCATGGCCTTCATCCTCCTGGGGGACGCCATTCCCGTAGCCAGACGAGTACTTCTTGCCGTTTGGCGCCGTGTAGGTGGATCCGCCGAGCCCATTATTGTAGTATTTACTACCGTCGGGATTCTGGTAATAGTAAGATCGATCACTGTGAAATGTTAGCGTTGGGCAGAGACGTTGGGAAGTAGGCGGAAGCAGCTTAGTGTAGAGAAATAGGACTCCTCACCGGTTAGAGTAGTGATATGAGTTGGACCCATTGCCGTAGTCTCGAACACAGTAGTGATTGCCCTGGGTACATAGGTTAGTGCCCCTCCCAACATTCTTCGCACATCTTCTGGCTTACCCGGCTGTTGACGCCGTGGTTTCTGTAGTTGAAACCACCGTGCTTGTTAGACATGCTGAGAGACCTGGATGTGCTCCGTGTGGAGAGGCGAAGAGTTAATTCGTCCATGAGGCAAGATCTTAGGGAGAAAAAGGTCCGACTTGGAATGGAAAGATCGCAACGTCACGCCAAACAACGCTACGGTGAACTCGTTATAGTAAGGGCTACAGTGGCGTCGGCTCTGATGTTGAGCATCGAGGCCACTGATTTCCGACGTTGTTATGAGTAATGAGTATGGACAGGGGAGCAAGTCAGAGAGCAGTCAACGATTGCTGAAAGACTAGGCATCAATTAAACCTTCGGATGAACCTTGTTGGAAAGGTCAACCGACCAAGAAAGTTAACTCCTGCCTCCTAAGGCAGATGTTAAGGATGTAGATGTGATAGGCTCGTTCCTTCCAAATGTCTAAGAAAGACTAGGGAGCAGCGATCATCACGAGCAATACCAAGCCTACTACGTTGCGTCTACTTAAGTCCTAGGTTATCCGGTTTTCGCAACTTCTCAGGTGTCATGAGTGACATTTTGGCTGGGCTAAGTAATCTCAGCTCTCTGGCAACTGATGACAAGGAATGGGCAAGAGATCATACTGTAGACAGACTCCCTTATCTACAAACAAAGTCACAGAATAATAGAAGCTGACCGGCCAGGCTTTCCTAGGATTGCAGCTTCTAAAAACGTTTTCCGATTGTTTTGCTAACCATGAATTGCACTATGTGCTGTCTACAGAGCAGCCTCAGCATGCCGCATCTGACTCGAGATCGCTGCTCATATAGATCCTTACATGCTGCTGAAGCTGTGCCTACTCTGCCTTTATTTCTTGGCTCCGCTACCACTGGCGCTGTTGCCATATCCAGAGGAGTACTTCGCACCACTGGGGGCAGTATATGTAGACCCGCCGGCGCCATTGTTGTAGTAAGTGCTCCCATTGGGATTGGAGTAGTAATATGATCCATTACTGTCAGCATGTGAGCTCGATGAGCATAGGACATGAGTGGCCCACCAAGATGAATGTGGATGGAGTGTTCAGCAATAAATAAGACTTACGTGTTGGAATAGTGGTACGAGTTCACAGCATTGCCGTAGTCTCGAGAGCAGTAGTGGTTGCCCTGTAGCCTAATGTCAGAATTGCAATCGGCACGTTCGATCTGGGAAAGGCTGCATACCTGGTCATTAACACCATGGCTCTGATAGGTGAAGCTGCCGCCTTGCTTGTCAGACATGGTGCCTTGTTTCGTGACGCAGATTTTAGATATGATGTTCCTGAAGGTGCTCTCTCTGAGGCAGGTTGGTGAGAGGAAGAGAAATGAACTCTGGAAATCGATGCGAGAGGAGAGAGCTTCGTCATTCACCGCCAGTGACCCTAGCTGACGCGATAAGCAAGTGCACTGACCTCGTCTCTGGTCACCGGGAAACACTAATGTCACGATATCCCTGTTGGTGGGGCTTCCTCTTACCAGGGCTAGAACAGATAAGGAAGTGTAGATATGGGCAGATGACTAGATTGTGGGATCAATGGTCGATGTTGGTTGTGCCGGCATACCTGGCTTGCAGACGATAACAAATGGTGGCTACCCCAGGATCTTTGAAAAAGAAGCAAAGCGAACCATCGCGAGCATCAGGCCCGTCTGATAACTCGCTGCTCAACCAGTCGCGATGAGCAAGCCGGAGGGCATGGAATCCTCCAATGGGGTCAAGCCCGTCAGAACGCCTCAAATGCATGGGTCCAGCCCCGTCGGCCTCCTGCATCGCATCGCCCAGAACAAACATTGCTTTGTTGGGATCACAATCGATAAGACGCGGTGGAATGATTCGAGGGTTTGTCTAATTGTTGCAAGTCATTTTTCTATGGCCTTCTAAATGCGAACCTAATATAACGAAAATGAGTTGCTCTAATTACCAGATCGGACTTCCTCCGTCTCCTCGTCTAAGCCGTGCTCAGCCAGGTATTTCTCGGCTTCTAGAGCAGCCATGCATCCGGTACCTGATAGTAGTTAGCATATAATTCAAGCTGAAACGGGCATATAACACGTACCTGCACTGGTAATAGCTTGTCTATATCTCTTGTCCTGAACATCACCCGCAGCAAAGACACCTTCTATGCTGGTAAGTGGGGTGCCTGGCTGGGTCTTGATGTATCCATCCTCATCTGTCTCAACCTGTCCCTTAACCAGCGATGTGGCCGGATCGTGGCCAATGGCATAGAAGAGACCATTTGCCTCCATAGTCTCCTCCTCGCCGGTCTTGATGTTCTTGATAACCATGTGGCTCATCAAGCCTTTGTCGTCACCCTTGACCTCCACACCGACGGTATTCCACCGCACGGTGATCTTCTTGTTCTCCAGCAGCCGCTTGGCCATGATAGCACTGGCACGCAGCTGATCTCTCCGTACGAGAACTGTGACGTGGCTACCGTACTTGGTCAGGAACATAGCCTCCTCGGCCGCAGAATCACCACCACCAATGACAATCAGAGGCTTGTTGCGGTAAATTGGCACCGCACCGTCGCAGACAGCGCAGGCAGAGATGCCGTTTTGCCAGTACTTGTCCTCGCCGGGCAGACCAAGCCGTCTTGCGGATGCGCCAGTAGCGATGATCACGGAATCGGCAGTGCGAGTGTCCTCGGGGGACCACTCGGTGGTGTACTTGAACGGACGGGAGGAAAGGTCGAGTGTGGCGATGGTCTCAGAGATGATCTCGGTGCCGAACCGCTCGGACTGGGCGCGCATCTTGTCCATCAGCTCCTGACCCATGATGCCATCGGGAAAACCGGGGAAGTTCTCGACGTCGGTGGTGGTCGTCAGCTGGCCGCCGGCGGCGATGCCGTTGGCCATGAAGCCCTCATAGAGGACGGGCTTCAGGTTGGCCCGCGCCAGATACACCGCGGCAGTGTGGGCGGCCGGCCCTGAGCCGATGACTGTTCCGTCCTGTCAGTAATGATCGACTTACACGGTAGCGTGTCATCGGGGTGCTGCCCCGCGCACGCGTCGAGACGGAGACTTACTGACTACCTTGCTGTGCATCCTCCTCACGCTGGCACTACTCAATTCACTAGATCTTCGACTGTTGTTCTTCAGACCAGCGGCAGTGACTGCAAGGACCGAAAGGCCAGTGGCGCTGGATCGCAAAGTACGGGGGAAGAGTCTGGAAAACAGCTTGACGGCTGGGGTCGTGTCTTTGGGGAAAGGATCGAAGGTGGGATGCGTTGAAGGGACAGCAGGCGCTAGTGCTTAAGTACTCGAGGCGAAAAGAACAGGATGGTACAGTCTAAAGATCCGCTAGCAAAGGGAATATTCTCGGCGGGCCCAAGGGCGGTACTCTAGTTGGGTGATAAGGAGCGATTTCTAATGCCGCAGTCAAGTGGGCTTTTTCTCGATTCCAAAAAGTCGAAGCCGAGGAGGTTTGATTCCACAATTTTGGAGGGACCCGCCACGATCCCGCCGGCTGCGGAGGAGGAGCAGCATCTAGAAACCCCCACTACGGCTGCCCACGCGCGTAATTATTCAGCCCTGCTATAACCCTAACCCTGATCTTACATGGTGGCCATGATTTGTCAATCCAGAGGGCGGAGCTTTTTAGCTCTCGAGCTATCAACTTCACCTTTCATCACCAGCTTTGACGACAGACACGAAGGCTTCCCCGCGCTCCGGCGAGCATCCCCCACGATTTCGACTTCGACCCCATTCAATCTATAATACGTCGAAGGCGCAGTATCTGAGGTCATCAGTCTTGCGGTCTTTGGGTCACTAGCAAGTTTGCTGGACCAAATATGGCCACTGCAACGACAACCACAACGGCGCAGCTTGCGCAGCAGATGCTCGAGCACCGTGCCCCACGACCGACCTTCTCCTTCACACCCTTCCTCCAGAACACATATCACCACGGGCTACCCCCAGACCGGCCGATATGTAAGGCATACGCGGCCGGACACTGTCCGCTGGGCACGCGCTGCCCCGAGCGGCACGTGTCGTCGTCGGCCACCAAGCAGGAGGGCGGCGGCGGCTCGGCATACAACTCGCTGGTGTGCAAGCACTGGCTGCGTGGGCTGTGCAAGAAGGGCGAGAGCTGCGAGTTTTTGCACGAGTACAACCTGCGCAAGATGCCCGAGTGCAACTTTTTCGTGCGCAACGGCTACTGCAGCAACGGTGATGAGTGTCTGTACCTGCATATCGACCCACAGTCCAAGCTGCCGCCCTGTCCGCACTACGAGCAGGGCTTCTGTCCGCTTGGCCCGCGCTGCTCAAAGAAGCACGTCCGCAAGAAGCTGTGTCCCTACTACCTTGCCGGCTTCTGCCCTGACGGAAAGACATGCAAGGAGGGCGCACATCCGCGGTGGGAGAAGGACCTGGAGAAGCCAACTGCGAAGGTGGAGAAGAAAGAGGATGACGAGAGTGTCTTGGGCAAGCGAGAGCATATGGATGACGAAGATGAGGGAATGTTTAGAGAACGGGGAGACCGGGACCGCGGTGGACATGATCGGGGGGGCCACAAAGACAGATTTGGTGGCGGCCGAGGTGGAGGTGGTCGCTGGAGAGGAAAGCCAGGAGGAGGACACAAGTTCAGGGGCAGGCATTAGACGTGGCGCTCTTCTGGGTCCAATCCGTGAGGTTGTATCATTACTGATACGTGTACGAACATTGGCGTTGGTGGGCTCGGACGAGGCAAGATACCAAGATCGGAATATTCAGGTCATTATATTGATCATCGTACATTTATTTCATTATTTATAGAGTCGTGACGTGTCTATGTATGGATAGGTGTGTGTCGTATCATCTACTGACCAAGAAAACTGCACAAATCGCAGATTGGCCAGTCAGTTTAACCCTCCTTCCAGACATTCGTATCCGCCGAGTGCTCCGGATGTACAGAAATATACTCGGAGCCCTCGCCATTTTCACTACCAGACCGTGGGCTATTGTACTGCCACGCCGAGAGTTCGTCAACCTTGCGCATGCCCATTATCCAGCCCACTAGACCTCGCGGAACCCAACGCCCGACGAAACCGTAGAGATTCGCTCCGAGCCCAACACGCACCACCCCACTAGAGTTAGACCCATCGATCACATCGAATACCGCATTGTGCAGGTCGCGCAATGAGCTGCCCCTCATCCCTCGGACACGGCCTGCAGAGATGGCAGATGTAGATGTGTTGACGAAATTCCGTCCATAGGCATGTCGAGCCGCCTCGGGCCATGCCAAGGTCTCCGCATGGTCGGGGGCGGGTAGAAGGCCCGGCTGCGCGGCCGACGAGCTTCGTAGGTTCGCAGGGGTGAAGCCAGCAAAGTCAAAAGTGCCCAGCTGGATATGCGTTACCGGGATGGCAAGGGGTCGCAGCTCCGCCGTCAGCACTTCTGTGAAAGCCGAAAGCGCTGAGCAGACCGTCGCCTCCGGTGCATGGAAAGGTGGGTTGATTGACGAGATGATAGAAGGTGTGAAAACGAGGACTTTGGGGTTCGACTTCTCTCCTGACGGGCTAAGCCGCGCCGTCAAAAGAGGCAAGAACGCTTGGATAGTGAGGATGGGGTGGAGTAGATGAGTGTTGAAGAGATCCGCAAAGCTCGATGGAGGGATGGTAGCAATCGGTGAGGTTTGGTAGTTTAGAGATGGTATGAGGATGACGGACTTCAAGGCCAAATAGTTCGCCTTGGCCCTGGGCACAGCTGAATGAGGAGTTTGTAGGTAATGTGCGAATCGCTCGATCGAGCTGCCGGCGCTGGGCGGGTCCGTTATATCAATTGTAAGCGGTCGGATATCAGGGCGTGACAGATTCTGCACCATGACCTCATCCTCGATAGTGTTGCAAGCGATGTAGACGATGAAGCCTTTTCTCTCCAAGTCCAGCGAAAGCGACCTGGTCAGCGGCAACGTCGGAGAGCCGGCAATGACTACCACTTCCAATCGTCCACCATTGCGAGCGCGCTTCGCCCGTCGCGTTTTCCGGCACCATCGGCTTTTCCTGTATCCCCTATAAACGACAACACTGGTTGTGAAGATGATGACGCCAGTCAAAATCTTGTGTCTTGATACCCAGTCTTGCGCTCTCTCGTACAGCGACGAGGAGGATACTATAACCTTCGGGGGCGGCGGAGGTATGTGTGGGCGCATCGAATCTGGAACCCATGGCGATGAGGCAAGCGATTCTCGAACTTGATCGGCAAGCTTGTCGACATGCTTATCGATGAACTCGGCGACGTCGCTGGAATAGCGTCTGATATCGTTGGGCAACGACGAGAGCTGTCGCGTCTTTGTTAGCAGCGGCGCAAGCACTTTAGAGCATCAGTGTAACTCACCACGTCCAGAAATTGTTGATCGTCTGCCGACATCTTGATAAGGATGGCCCCTCAAGCTTCCAGAACCTCTATTGTGCTAGGGAATGGAGAGGATGGGCGACTTTTGATTTTATCGGTGGTGTCGCCTGATCAGCCGGGTCGTAAAAGACGGGCTCCCTAATCAGAGTTATCACGTCTCCACCCGCTTCCTACTGTGGGGAAAACGTCATTTCCCGAGGCCTGGCGCATAGCGATCCAGGGTTCAACATGAGACCACCCGATTGGCTAGAATCGTGTAAGCCGTTTGACGACCACCTTACATAAGAGAAGGAAATACGTTAAAAGACCAAAGCAAGGCATTTTACCAGCTGTACCTTTGAAATAACTACAGTGCGTGGACTTCAAGCTTCATGTGTCCGTTTGTGGTCTCTGGTTGGCAGGCCAATATGACAGTATTTGGGCTCTGATAACTGATGAAATTATCCTAGCTAGGCTGTATTTACAGTACAACATGTAATAGCCACCTGAAAATCCATCTGCAATGTCTGGTAGTAGGAATTTTTGGACCACAGAAGAGACATAACATATGAAAGCCCGGAGTGATGTTCTCAAAACGGATTTATCTTCGCTGAGCGAATAATGAGTATCAATCCAGGTCGGCTGTTGCTTGACGATGTGCCAAAAACTCTCGCCATTTCTCCCATGTTAAACTCGCCGCTAATGCCTTTTCCTTCTTCTCATCAATAGGACTGGCATGATTCTTGACCTGCTCGAGGAGAAAGTCCTGCATGTCTCGAAACTCCTGAATCTGAAGCGGGGTCATGTCGACACGGAGGAAAATTAAGGAGCCAGTAGGCAGCGCTGGCTTCTCCAGCCAATTTTTCAGATAGTTGTAGTCAGTGAAGAAGACCGAGTCAAGCATGAGCATGAGACTGTTCTTGTTGAAGTGGTAGTAGTTGCAGGTCGGAGGCATGCCGAGAGCGTGAGGATCAGGGTTGGTACAGGCCAATGAAATGACCTTGTCGAAGTAGCCTAGTGAACGCAATCCGAGTCTCATAGCAATGCTTGGAGTGATTTGTACCTGCTGTAGCTCAGGAGCCTTGTATCTGTCCATATCGCCTTTGCAATATGCTTTGACACCGGTGTAGGTGTGACCAACGAAGCGACTGGGGTCAAGAAGTGCCTTATTGTATTCATAACACTGGAACCAGTCCACGACTGCGCGAAAGTCGCGCATGTTGAGGTCTCCATCTGCACCAACAATGACAATATCGCCGATCCATTGGTAGCAGACGCCAGGGGTTCCGAGATTCTGGATGGATTTGTTGGGTACCGGCAACGTCATCCAGGGGCAGCTCTGAGCTATGAACATCTTCTGAGTGGCGATGGGTTTGGTTTGACCCGACATGTCGAGTGTGTATTCCTGGAGCTCAGCGGTCTTCTCAAAGTAATGGGAGAAGTCCCACTGATCTTGTCCAAGCTTCTTTATCCAAGCGAATCGGGGTCGCTGCATCTCTGCAGGGGCACACGCTCGTTCTGCTGGGAAAACAATGGCGCGAATGTGATCGGCTCGGGGTCTCTGCTGGTATCTTGACAGTTTTTCGCAAAGAAGTTTGTGAATGGGCCAGTCAGCCGTCTGACACTGCCTAGAGCAATAGAAGATATCTTCACAGCGGGAGCACATGAAGAGGTCGGCTTCCTTGAAGCATGTGGGGCAGTTTCCCTTCGCAGGGCGCTCATTCGCAACGTTGGTGCCCATTGTGCTGAGTTCCCGAGAATCTGGTGGATTGTGAAAGGGCGGTCATCAGACGATGGGGGGCGCGGAATCTAAAAAGCTTTGGCGTCGATATCGTTGCTTGCGCCTGGTGCTCACTGAAATGCGTGGCAAAAACTACGCGTTCTTGCAGAAGGATGTCGCTTAGCACTCTGGGGCCATAAAGGCAATGATTAGAGTGAGCCAAATGATATCGGTTTGGCGGGGGCTTCCTGATATTGGAAGCGGATCAAGTCTCGTACAGAAATGGCGATGTTGTTGAGCATAAGCCGATGACGAGTACTTTGCGGAAGGCTCCAGATAGGGCGATGATTTCAGGAAAGCTATCACAAGTGACAGGCAGGGATAGTAAAGATTGGGGTTGTGGTGATGGTAGTGAGGGGGAGGCTTGGGGAGGGCTGAGATGAAACCTAGTAAAGGGTAATACGTTCTGCTACAAAAGAGGCGGAAGGAAGCAAAAAACAAATGAATAGATTGTACGAGGAGGGATTGAACCAGCAGCCTCTTGCTGGTGTTGTGATGAAATTCTGTGCCGTTTTGGGTATGAAATTGTTTTGGGTAAAAAATAAACACCACCCTAGAAATCTCGCGATGTACCGACCCTATGAGTTGCATTGAGAAGGCACAAATCACGATCGCCACAACACAATCAAGATGTGATTCCAGAGGAGAAGAAAAAAAGGAAAAGAGGTATAAAAAAGTCTGGTGCCCCCCAGCTCAGGCTCTTTTTATACAACGGCCTGACTACTGCGAGTCCTTCTTTCGATATAGGAATTTTCTTTGCGCCGGTGCTCAGCCTAGGTCTGGTACGGCTGCGACGTGTCTGAGGATCATAGCATTAAAGATAGCGCTCTTTATTTAACGACCCGGCTATCTAGCTCCCCGCTGTTGAATATTTGGCCTCAATTTTAACCTTATAAGGGGAACTCAAGTTCGGGGTGCCCCCCCCCAGGCCCGAGTGCTGCCTGGTACAAAGGCGCCAGGTGGACAGGGTCAGTCCTGCCATCCCAGCTATCAAATTGACCTCAAGCGCAAGCGATTACCTTGCAAGCCAGTATCGCCCGCTCATGCCGCGTTGTGTCTACCGCATGAGGTTTGAACCGACGACACATGCCGATCCCCATTCATTGCATTGAGATCTCGCCACTGAGCGAGGCGATATTCTTGCGACTAGTAGGAGAGTCAATACTCCCACACACATTCCATACATACCCTCCATTCCAACACGAATGAAATAGTGTCCTCCAGCGCCCAGATATCGATCATCCAGAGCGTTCTAATGGTGTATATAGCATATCCAGTAGCTTGGAAAGAGACGCAAGGAAAGACTGAAGATCATTTCTGACAGGTAACTATACCAGTCAGAAGATACAAACGTCCTTGCAAATGAGATCCCATGGACAGACCCCAGCCAGTGACAAGTCAACGGATTCAAGCAATGGAAAACATGGGGATGGCAGTGCACACGAGCAGTACTGTTGCAAAGACTGGTCATAGCCTAACTCAAATCCCCAAAAAAAGAATGAGACGAAATATCGTTGTTGTTTCTGCTCCAGTGAGCGGTGATAGATTGCTCCAACTTTGGAGTCGCAATTGCCTTTTTGTTGAGAGAGCAATTGGAAATCAAGTGATATAAGTCAGGAAATCGGCAGATATAACCAAAATCAAGCTGTACAAGACCGAAGAAGCGGATTATGTACTTCCTCTCCTTCGTGTATGTAATCGAGGGACGGCTTTTTTCGCCGCTGTCGTGGTGTGGAAGAGAAAGGGGGTGACGGCCCCTGAAGCCAAGACATGTCGTTGGAAAATGCGGCTTACGACGGCTTATCTACTAGTGACTGCCCAAACAGGTGCCGTTCATGAGAACACTTCCTAGGTTAGTCTAGCAGACAATCCAGTGGAGGCTGGTAGAGACCCTACCACTGCTCCCCCACTGAAGATAGCGGTGCGGGGAAATCCGAGCTATAAGATAACGATGAGGTAAAGTGAATCAGGGAGGTGCAACCGAGACCAGTATAAGTCCTTTCTGCTTCCGTTGCATACCTTGTCTGATTGTTGATTACCGATGTATACCTATATCTAGATAGCCTCATAAAGCCCATTGTCCAATAAGAAAAGACCACAATGGTGTTCTTTCTAGATTATTTCCAACACCGCCGCGATTGGTAAGTTTCAATCCCCCCACCTCGTCTACCTCCTGAACGAGGGGTGGGAGTACTCTCTAGACTAACATCATCAAAGCCAATTCAAGCAAGCACAACGTGCAGATCGGATTGCTGCACTTACCAGTTACCATGGGCCATTCACGTCGTCCGACCGCGAGACGGTTGACAAGCCTATTGAGGAGCTTGTCCAAGGTGTCCGCAAAGGGGTCATCCAGCCACTAGACATTCTACGGACCTACGGCAAAGTCGCAGTCAAGGCTCACGAGAAGACCAACTGCGTGACGGAAGTCCTGCTCTCCTCCGCAGAGGGCTGGCTGCAAGACGGCTCGATCAACCTGGATGGGCCCCTGGCCGGGATCCCCGTCAGTCTCAAAGACACGATCGTGGTGGGCGGCTACGACACCACCGTCGGGTACAGCAGCTTCGTGGGCAACGCGGTGCCCAAGGACGGCGCCATCGTGCGGCTGCTCAAGGACGCCGGCGCGGTGCCGTACGTCAAGACCAACCTGCCGATCACGCTGCTGAGCTTCGAGTCCACCAACGACGTGTGGGGGCGCACCACCAACCCGCACAACAGTAAGTACTCGCCCGGCGGATCCAGCGGCGGCGAGTCTGCACTGCTGGCCCTGGGCGGCCGGATCGGCATTGGGAGCGATGTTGCGGGCAGCGTGCGTGCCCCTGCCCATTTTGCCGGCTGCTACAGCTTGCGGTGCTCGACGGGCAGGTGGCCGAAGTTCGGCATCTGCACCAGCGTGCCTGGACAGGAGGGTGTGCCGAGCATTTACAGCCCAATGGCGAGGACGCTGAACGACCTTACCTACTTCACTAGTGCGATTGTCGGGATGCAGCCGTGGAAATATGACTATCAGGCCCATCCCATCCCCTGGAGAACGGATGTAGTCGAAGAGTATAGCTCAAAGAAGCAGCTACGAGTTGGTGTGCTACGAACTGACGGGGTTGTTGATCCGAGCCCGGCCTGTCGCCGAGCTTTGGAGATGGCGGAAGCAGCTCTCAAAGAAGACGGTCATGAAATTGTCGAAATTAACCCTCCGAATATGTACTACGGTCTACAACTTGCTTCATATCTCCTCAATGCCGACGGCGCGCAGATGTGGAGGACATTTATGAGAACAGGTGAATGGAACGATGCTGGGGCTGCTCAGCTTGGCTTCATGGCAAATCTCCCAAGTCCGCTCAGATATATCTATTATCTCTGGGTCAAGTATGTGCGAAGAGATGAAATCTGGGCTGGTCTTATTCGCGACTTCCGCGCAAAGACAGCCTTCGAGAACTTCCAGCTGGTTTCCAAGCGAGAGGGCTACAGGGCGGAGTGGTACGAGTGGTGGAACGAGCAGAAACTGGACTTCGTCCTTACACCTCCCAATGCTACACCCGCTGTTCCTCATGATGGCATGAAGGATGCTGTTAGTAGCTGTGGCTACACGTTCTTGTTCAACCTGGTAAGTCTTGATGCCCCTCGCATTTCCAGGTGCAGAAAAGGCTAATTGTAGCAGCTGGATTACACTGCCGGAGTCATGCCTGTGACTCATGTAGACAAGGCTCTGGACCAACTACCTGCCAGTTTCGATATCAAGAAGCTCAATGGCGTAGCTCAGGGAGCGTATAAGCTATATGATGCGGATGCGATGCACGGCCTCCCGGTGGCAGTACAGGTCGTCGGTAGGAGACTTGAAGAGGAGAAGGTGCTGGCCATAATGAAGCGGATAGAAGATGCACTTGGTGAACAGAAATACAAGTTGCTCGAGCTTGACTAAGTTCTAAGGGGCGCCGATATAGTAGGGAGATTTCCCTTGGCAGAGCAGGGTTCTGGTCTACTCCGATCAGGGGAGATATCTGGACAATGGCCACACCCACCTCTAAATGTCAATCCAACCACACAGACATGCGGCCTTCCCATCCGTAAATAGCTTGCATCTCCAGCTTGAATATGACTTTATGAAATGTCAAATCCTGTAATAGCACCTCCGCGAATGGCGTTCAACGAGTTTGCAAATCGCAAACACGGCTCCGAGATCGGCCCATCACTGTGCGGTACCTTGGGCTGCGCAGGATGCACCTGCCAACCAGAGGTACTAAAGGCCCCATGCGGGGATGTTTAGTTGACGACTATAAAAACTCCATGTTCGCTCGATAACCGATGGTGAGACGCTGCAGTGTTGATATTGCTCTGCTTGAATTTAAATAAGAAGGTTGAAACTTGCTCAGACATGGCTGCTAATTCAAAAGATCACTGGTCTTCCGAGGTGGGTGCAACATCCCGGCGTATCGTTTGGTAGCTGGCAGGCAAGACGACTTACACGGAGTTTAGGCCTATCAACACTCGGCATCATTCGTGCCAAAGCTCGCAACCAAAGTTCTGAGCTGGCTAGACCCCCAGAAAGACGATGTCATTCTCGACATTGGCTGCGGTGGTAAGTCGTCAGCTCATCTACTTTTACCACAATCCGCTGACATGTCTGCGAGACTGCAAGCAGGGCCCGGAGATATGCCAGGTGCTGTCACAAGGCAAGGGCAGCCTGCACGGCATCGACAGCTCGCCCGCCATGATCAAAGCGGCGCAGAAGGCTCATGAGGAGGCCGGCATCAAGTGCGCGACCTTTGAGGGTAAGTTCAAGCCAGACCACAAGCCCTGACCACTACAATTCTACACTACCGTCATGCCACAACCGTAATATGTCGCAATGTATACAGCAAGAACTAAACCCTCCCCGCAGTCGTCGACGCCCTCGACCTCCCCAACAAGCCCGAGCTGCAGAAGCAGCAATTCACCAAAGTCTTCTCCAACGCCGCCATGCACTGGATCCTGCGGCCGGCCGGCCGCCGCGCCGACCTCTTCCGCGGCGTGCGCGACGCCCTCGCCCCCGGCGGCGTCTTCGTCTTCGAGATGGGCGGCCTGGGCAACGTGTCCGAGATCCGCGCGGCGCTGCTGTCCGCCGTGGGCCGGCGCCTCGGCGTCCGCAGGACCGAGGACGAGGTCAGCCCGTGGTTCTTCCCGGACGAGGAGTGGGCGCGCGCGACCATGGAGGACGAGGTCGGCGGCCTCAAGGTCGAGCGCATCGAGCGCGAGTGGCGGCCCACGACGGCCGACGCCGGCGGCGTCGAGGGCTGGGTGCGCCTGATGGCCGCGCAGTTCTTCGAGGCGCTGCCCGAGGAGGAGCGCGAGCCGTGCATCAGGGAGGTGCTCGACGTGCTGGAGATTGTCTGCGCCAAGCCCGGCGGTGGCTACATGTTCAGCTATGTACGCCTCAGAGCTATTGTGCGGAAGATCTGAGGCTGAGAGAATACCATGAACTTATCTATTGTCTTCATGTCCTTGGAGAGATCGAAACTCCCATAAGGAATAAATAAACTAAGTCGCTTGTTGAAGATTTGCCAAGCCTGGCATACATGTCACATGAAAGACATATTTGTGAAGTTCCAAAAGCAGCGTAGTCATGTGTGAAGCATTCAGTATGAATTAGTCCATTCTCTTCCGGTGTGGTCTATTTCTCTACCGAATCCGCGTATAACCATGTGGAAGCCTGATTCTACCGTAACCCATATACAAATGTAAGCACCACACACGAGGAGCTCCAAATCCGGTGTCGTTACACCGCCCATACATGAGCATCTTGCTCTTGTTACATGCCCTGCCCCCTCGAGTGGTGTCCCTTATATACTTGGAGGGCTTCTCATCTTGAGGGATGTGTTTCGTCTCCCGACTCCCAGTAAGGAAATATGTCGGCCAAAACACCAAATGTCCTCTGAGAAAATTTTGTTATTCGATACAATGAAAATGTCATGCCATCGTAAGTGAAATCAGGCTGGTCCGTAACATGGACCTAGAGTGCGATGTGCACCGGTTTCGTAGAAATGCAATCAACCGATAATTCAATCCTCGTCTGCGTTCTTCTTACGACGCAAGCTACCGAATCGTCGCTTCAAACCATCGCTGAACTTCTTGCCTGTTGTGTTGCTCCGGCGAATATCATTTGAATTTGACATGCCAGTTGCGGATGTGGGGCTCAGGAGTCCTTGAGATGGCTGGCCACCTCCAGCAGCGCTGACACTCCGCTGGCGTGTTGTCGTGTTGCTAGATCTATTATAGCTGTTGACATTTGGTTGCATCTCGTACTCGCCGACGCTGTTGGAAGCGCCGTGCTTGCGAAGTCTCGCCTTATGCTCCTTGGCATCTCTCTCGATTGTGAAGGACGGCTCACCCTTGCCCTTGAGGTCATCGTCCCGATAAGGCTGGATATTAATTAGTAAATGGTTCCATGTTCCACATTTTCGATGACAAAACTCACAATGAAATCATAGCGCTTATAAGCACCGCCTGGGGCATCTCTCTCGCGCATCAGATCAGCGCCCTCTTCATAGTTCATCTTGTCACCTCTCATATCCGACATGCCTGGCGGAATTGTTGCTGTTCCTTGTAGAGGGACATGCTTCTCTAGAGAATCCTGGATGTACTCTCGTGGGGTGGCTTTCAGGGCCTCAATGTTGGACTCCTTGACGGCCTCCACGGGCGAGTACATCTTATTACCGTTGCGTGACGCCAGAGTCGCATCATAGGGACCCCCATGATGGTAAGCACCACCGAATGAAGTGCTATCCAGCGAATCAATGGTGTCGGTGTTGGGGAACTTGCGTGCGCGGTGGGGGGCGCGGTCCGCTGCACGCTGGTCCCGCTTGAGCATATCTAGGGGTCTATGCGACATGTCGCCGGGGTATCGCCCGCTAAGTGATCCGCTTCGTCGAAGGCCTTTACCCTTGTCAAGACCGCTGCCGGTATTAACGCTGACGCTGCGGGATATTGCAGCACCTGAACCCTGGGTGTGATGCGTCTGCGGGGGGTGACTGGAATGGTGGTGGACAGTCTTGCTGCGTCCAAGATTGGAGCCTTGTGGGTGATAAGTCTCTTGCAGCTGGTAACCCTGTCGACTGATACTGTTGCTTCTGCCCAGCGAGATCCGATCAGCTGGGGGAGATCTGGGCGACAATGGCTGATAGCGATGCGGAGATCCAAACGGATTGGATGAGTGAAAGCTAGATTGAGTGGGACTAGCAGAAGCTGGAGGAGTTGGATAGCTACTCGTGCTATTTGTCTTCCCGTGGTTGGAGACTGGAGACTCTTGAGCCCTGGTCGAAGTAGTGCGCCGGAGAGGGTTAATGAATGAGCTTCCGGGGCCTGTTTCCTGGCTTGGTTCGGGAGCAGTGAGTGGATCGAGGATATATCTCTGCGCCTGGTGAGAAGTTGAAGAGAGTTTGTTAGCAAAATTGCCGTGGTCCTGAGGGAGTAGAAGAGCAATTGATTAAATATCAGGCAGGTTGAAGGAAAAGAAGAGTGATGAGTGAGCCGCCGGTTGATTCTTAGCTTGGAGGATTGCGTAGGGTGTACGGTGGTGTAAGTCCCTGGTGTGCACGACTCGGGGGCAGTGACGCAACAGCTTTCGTCCCTGGCAGTCGCAAGCATCCAAGCCACAGCAGCCGGGATCGCTGGAAGCGGGTGGGTCCACCGCCAGCTGTAATACACTGTACAATACGGGACGGGCAGGACAGCTAAAGGCTTGGCTAATAAGCCGACCGCGAGAACAGCCATTACTAGGCAGTAATCTGAAGAGCCATGCTTGTTCCCGCCATCCGGAAATGATCATCGGGAGCTCTGGCGCTTGCGGTGCAGTAGGAGCTGGGTATGATGAAATTGAAGAGTGGAACAGATGATGGCATCAGGGTACCCAGGCTGCTAGGTCCCTAAGGGACGTGATTCCCACCTGGGATGACAGCAGTCCCGGCGCTGTGTGTGTACGCAGTAGGGTTCTGCCACGCTGCGAGGGCACGCCTAGCAGGGAAGGGGACTGGGACTTACCCACTGTTTGTCCTCGGAGGCGTCCATTTTAGCGGGGCGGCGTTTTGGCGCTGCGCTGGTGGAGAGACAATTGGTGAAGTACCGGTAGGGTATCGTATCTGCTGGAGACGGAAGCGCGATAATCAGGCACAGCGAAGCGATGGAATGAGAGCAAAGAGAAACAATGTTTCGGATGGGTGTTTGTGTTTTGCAGAGAACCAGAGACGATTTCTCTCCTAAGGCAGAGAAAAGTTGTGTGTCCGGATGAAGAGATCGGGCAAACCTTCAGCATTCGAGAGGAGACACGGGAGGGGGGGCATTGGGCGGATAAGAAGGAAAGGAAAGTCCGGGGACGGAGAAGGAGGGGGAAGGGGCCATGCGTCAGGCGGACAAACAGAGACTGCCCTCCAGTCAGTCAGTCAGTCAGTTCTCTTCCATTCTGTCCGATGTGTGCTGTCTGCTGTCAGTCATGTCAGGCACAGGAACCAGTCTAACGGGCTCACATGCCTGGACCAACCAACCAACCAACCATACGTCATCAACCTTCACCATTTAACTTTACCCAATGCGGGGCTGCCCTCCCCCCATCAGTTCACTCATCCATAGGAAGAGAACCTCCGATGACGATATTCAGGTAAGTCGGGAGATTAAAATTAGCTATGGGAAGTTGAGGCAGGTACCCGATTTGCATCAGCCCATCCACACCTACACCTTACCGCTGCATCGTACCTGAAGCTAGATCAAACACCAGCACAACAGTAGTTGCTTTTCTTAGGCAAGTCGGGAGACGGGTAGATAGCGTCAGGTACGCGACAAACATAGAGATAGAGATATACCTTGACACTAGACATTGAACCACCTGGGTACTTGCTCTAAAAACGCTTGCTTAGTCAGAGGCAATATTATACCGGTGCGCTGTCTCCAGGTGAAAAGTAGCAGGGGGTATTGAAGGCCGTCCTGTACTGCTCTCCGATTTTCTCCATTTTGGTATCTTCGTGCTGTGGTGTGTAAACTCCAATGATATCATAGTTATTACACCTTCCAGAAGGCTTACCTACATGTAGGTAGGTTGGGCCAGCTGCCCCACCGAAATGTAACGAGCAAGGGCGATCCATGGCAGCGCCAGCAGCCCCTGCATAGAAATGCCGAACAACAAGACAAACACTACCACCTACTATGTAGGTACTCTCACAAGCCTACTCGTACACGTCCGCGTCGTGTAAGTGAGACAAGCCCTCTCACGATGGGGCTGGTCGACTACTCGTCTTCCGACTCGGAGGCGGAGCCACCCGCAGAAGCACCAGCGGCTGAACCTCCCTCCAGGAAGCGGCGGACAACAGGGAGGACAACCACAGCACCGGACGCCGCCGTCCCGGGCCCGGACACGGCGTCTTCGGCGCTCCCACCGCTCCCCTCCGCCTTCCACGACCTGTACGCCTCCACCGTGCGCCCTTCCCCCGTGGACGACCCCTCCCTGCACCAGGGCCGCCGCCGCCAGATCCCCCACGTCGCCGGCAACTGGCCCTCGCACATCTACGTCGAGTGGCACCCGCCGGCCGGCGCCCACGCCCTGCTGCACGGCCTGCTCTCTGCCCTGGGCGCCGAGCTCAGGTCGCCATCAGCAGAATCATCATCACCCATCGAGCTGAGCACCTTCCTGACCTCAGACCTCGGCGCCCCGCTGCCCCTGCATGTCAGCCTCTCGCGGCCCTTCGTGCTGCGCACCGACGAGAAGGACGCCTTCCTGGAGCAGCTGGGCGAGGCCGTCCGCGGGAGCGGCGTCGCGCCGTTCGAGCTGCGCGCGCCGGCGCTGGCGTGGCATCGCAGCCCGGACTCGAATCGCTCGTTCCTCGTGCTGCGCGTGCGGAGCAGCAGCAGTAGCGGCAACCGCGGCGGGTCGAGGCCAGATGGACAGGCGCCCGGGCCGCACAACAGGGAGCTGGCCACGCTGCTGGAGCGCTGCAACAAGCTGGTCGCCTCCTACGGGCAGCCGACGCTGTATCAGCAGAAGCCGGGGGCGGAGGGTGGTGACGGCAGTGGTTCAGCTACCGATGCGTTCCACATTTCCATCGCATGGTCGTTTGCGGAGCCCACGGCCGAGCTGAGGGACCGAACCGCGGCTGTCTTTGCGAGGGATGAGTTCAGAGACGCCATACCTGAAATCCCCGTCTCGGTGAATGAAATCAAGGTCAAAATTGGTAATGTCGTTACGAATGTCACATTAAAAGGTTACAGTAAAGGAGGCGACAAAAGCGGGCAAAGGAAGAGTTTATTCGGCGTTTAGGCAAGGGGCATTGGTCACTCGATAGACAAAGGATATATGCAAAAGATACCAGGTTATTTTCGTTGCTTACTTTTGAGAACAAGACTCGTGACGTACGAGGGACTATATACAATTCATTCTCAAACCGGCATTGCTCCATTGATACTATGTTCCGATGCTTCATCTCACAATGTATATCGCGCCGTAACTCCAATGATGATAGGGTACTTAGAGTTCATCTAAGCTCGGCCGCTCAAACTTCCACGTGCGTTCGCTGACAGGCAGGCCGATGAAATACTGCCATAGCCTCAATGCTTCTGTTGTTGCTATCTCGTACCTGGGCAAGGTTAGCTCCACGTCCACTGATGAGACAAGTAGAACGTCATAAGCTTACAATGTAAACGGGAAACGAATCCACCCTCTAATCACGATTTTGAAAGCCTTGATGACCCTCGCAATCTCCTCGTCGAACTGTTCCTTGACAGTGGGTCCATGCTCCTCGTCGATTGGATCGTCGTCATACTCATAATCCATGAGCGGCTTCGAAGGTTTATCGCTTTCTTGAGCCGTCCCAACCGCGTGTGGCTTTTTCGCCCGGTCAGGAATGACGTTGGCCTTCTCGGCCCGCTCGAGAGCCTCAGCGGCCTCCTTTTCAGCAGCCATAGCCCGGAAGTTCTGGATAGCGTTCATGGAGCTGCTCAGCCTCGCGTAGGTGTTGAACAAGGCGACGAGTTCGGTCCGCTTCAGAATGGGTATCTCCTGGCTGTCGTTGTCGAACTCGAAGAGGACCTTCAGGGCGGTACCGTACCCGGCTGTCTGCAGCTTTCCCCACAGACGGCACTTGTCACAGCCGACGCAGTCCATGAGCCTGCTCACGTTCCGGAAGCGGTTCTTGAAGTCTTCCTTCAAGCTTGGGCCTTCGCCGTTCTTGAACATGAGGCTCTCGTCGAATATCTGGGGAACGCTTGACGCTGCTTTAGTGACGGCTAGAACCTTGGCTTTTGTTGCTGAGTCCTGGTCCTGATCTCCGGTGCAGAAAGTGTACGATTGAAGATGTGGGCCTAGCTTGGTAATGGCTCGGGTCAACAGAGCATAGTTAAAGTATAGGTTGCTGATCCGGTCAGGGAACGTGTGCAGTCTGCTGACATAGCACTCGAGATTGGGCGTCCATTCTCCAGTGGTCCTGTTCAGGAAGTCCCAGCATAGATGCGTATTGATGCTGGAGTGCATGCCGGACATGACCCTGTAAAATACTCTCTTCTCAATGCACTCATCCTCAACCTCGAGACCAGTCGATGCAACAAAGGGAGTGTTTGGGGTATGCTCACGCTCCTGCTCGAGCACCTGCTGTCGACCAGCCGCCTCAAGAACGCTCTTGAAGTCGAGCGCTGCAGGTCCCTTTGCCGGAGCAGACTGGCCCAAGGCAGCAGTATGTGGAAAGGAGTCCTTCTTGAAGCAGTTCTCTCGGTAGACGGCATTCCACACTTGCGCCGCACCCTGGCCGGCGTAGCCGGTGAAGCGTTCTGGGTTCTTCAATAGAGAGACGTAGTCGCCCTTGAAACTGGCAGACTCGTCCTCGGGTACACAATAGTCCCGTTCGTCGCATTCGTCGTCGTACTCCACCACACAGCTTTCGCCAACGTGTTCACCCAATTTGCCCTGGAGGGGTCTGTTGGGCTCTTCCTTTTGTATGGCTTTCCCGGGATGCTTCGCCAGGGGTCCCTCCAATTTACCGAGCTCGCTGGCTCGCCATACCTCTGGGATGTCCTCCTCGTTGTCCAACGTCTCTACTGCGCAGGCAATGTTGCCGCACATGCCATTTTCGTCGTCCCAGAATGGACATTTCTTGTGGAATAGGTTTAGGCGGTAGTGAGAAAAGAAATCTGTGGTGCGTGTGAGGTCATCAACCACCGGCTTGACTTTCAGGTTGAGCCGTTCAAGTGTCGAGTAGGAGGCGCAGGCATCAGATACAATGGCCTTGGGGGAGATCTGAAAACGAGAGGTGTTAGACAGAGTGTAATTATAATCAGCAGCAGCAGCAGCAGCTGTGACCAGCAAGCATGCTACGGCGAGAAGAGGAGAAGAAGCATACCGCGCAAGCATCTTGGGCGGCGTTTTGACATTGAACTTGGGGCCCCCAGAGACTGAAGACAGACAGGTAGAAGAGCTTCGCAGCGGCCTTCATGGCCGGTCGAGGGCTTTGCCGGGGTTTCTTATGTACAAAATAGATTGGGAGGAGCGGATCGATTGCTGGGCGGCTTTCGAGGCCACTTGGAAGATGTGGCCGGTAGTTACCTTCCTGAAACTGTAACTTCAGTCGATCCGGTGTCAGTGCTTAAAAATCATATGCAGCTTATTCTGCCTGTATGCGGGCGATAAGATAGGTGGCAACTCTATCTGGCGGAGCTCCCGGGTACCTTCAAGTGTCAGCGGTGCAGAGCAACCCTCCACTGTAACAGGTACAAATGCTTGAAAGAAATCAAGACGAGTCGAAGACGTCAAGCACCTAAAATGAGTCAAAAAGAGAACTTTGGAAAAGCTAGAAATGCATGCGAGGTCTCGAAAAGCATGTCGCAAAAGAGAAAGCGGCCGTTTGTCCTGTGTCAAATGTATATGGCGGTCATTGGCGCTGCTAGCATGGAAGTATTATGTGAGCAAGGCGATGCAGTTAATTGACATGTGTCCTGACGGAAAATCAGCAGATGTCGCGCGAGTCAAATTTAGATCGAGCCTTCGGATTCGCCCGCAGCCAGTCGGAGAATGCAAGGTACTACCTTGATGTCACCCGCTCCTCTGCAACCTACCTATTTCATTGGAGACTTACCGTCTACTATACCTAGTTGTTCTCGCAGAAATCTCTTTTGAATCTACTAAACCCAGTGGCAAACATATCTGTTCAGTGACTAGTTAGGGAGCTGTTAACGTCTTCACCACCCTGGCCTATTTGTTCTGTCTCATTGTCACTACCTAGGTATGAGTGAAGGATCGAGACCAATGTTCTAGATGCTCCAAACAGGACCGCAGCACGTTCCCTTTCTGGAGCGATCCCACGGACGTCATTGCCCCGCGTCATCATTAAAGGCATGGCTTGCTGGAGATCATAGAGTCTCTCGCAAGCCAGGGTATGGCCAAAAGTATAACTTGGGTGCAATGGCAGCCCACACTCTCACAGACACGAGTACATTTGGTCATTATACAGGTAAATTTAGAAGACCGCATACTATCTTCAAATATCGATTGCGGTGTGGCTGTGATTTGCAGTGTATGTCAAACGCGTGTCCGGCTACGGCGGAACACAATGCTGTTAACCATTCTTGACGGAGCGAATATTAATCAGGACCGGTTCGAGGATTGTTTTCTCCAAACAAGGCACTTAGGGCGGCTGTTTCTCGTTTGATAGCATCTGTCATGGTCTCCTGTTGATTCCATGAGGTTGAATTCTGTTACTAGCAAAATGGGACGATTTGTTATCGGCACTCCCAAACGCCTATTTACAAGGCCCTGTCGTCTTTCATCTCCTGTTTCAGTTTGCAGAGACCTGATTTATTTCCATTGTGTCTACATTAACCAACGGGTCTTGACAACCGTATCTATGGACGACAAAAGAGCGTCCAACTTGCTCACGTGAACTCCCAGAAGCTCACCGCAATCCGTGTCCCCCCGGTCTCCCGAGACGCCGAAAAAAATCCACAAATGCTGACTTATTCTTCCTACCGACTCCACTAGCAACCCTCGTTACGGTCCGATCTGCTCCTCGCGGAGCCGTAGATCCGCGGTCGGACAGGCCTCTTGACAGTGAGGAGAGCTCAAGCCGGAGGTTGTGAGGCGTAGAGCCGAGTGTCGGAGATATGGCCTTTAAGTCGTCGAAGCATTATACCCTTACAGTGAGAGGCAGATATCGCTATGCAGTCGTATGATATGATAAGATACAGTGGTCCGAACATCCCAGCTCAAAATGCGTCGTCGTCTCATCACTGTGCGGGAGGCTGGTAGTTGAGCGGACGTCTGTGTATGGTGTCAGTACCCAAGTGTAATGAACACGTTGTAGGAGTAAACCCACTTGAAGAGTAGGATATGCGGCTCTGGCTCGTGGACCTCGTAGTGCTCCCATCCGAGACTCTAAAATCTAGTTTAGCGGTCTGTCACCACAATTAGGCGTATTGGTGGTTGCTCACCTGTGTGATGCCCATTGATCGCCACTCGTCCTCCCATAGCAACTTCAGCGTGCCTTTGGAACTGTCATGGTACTCCTTCGGAATGGCCTTGAGCATGGCCTTGGGCAGCTGCACGTGTCGGTACTCATATTCGCTGTCAGAATATCTGAGGCAAACAGTTAGACAGCCGGAACATGAAGGATCGCGAAGCAGACAAAACGCACCTGGCAGAGTAGTGGATTGAGTCGATGTATTCCTCGAGACGAGCGCGCTCGTTGTCGCTCAACAGCCGAGGCTTGATGTTGCGACGCGTCGAGTCGATGCCGTGCTCGCCGTTAGACATCTTAACAGCTGTATTGATTGAATACCTGTGTGTGCTTGACTGCGGAAACGAATATGGCTTGACAATACCGGAATATTTTCTTAGTGTTGGAGGACAGAACTCCAAAATGTCGCGTTGTCTTTGCTGGTGTAAAAAGATCGGAGGAGGGAGCGTGGGGGAAGGGACAGTCGAGCTTTTGATGGAGTTGAGGGGCAGAAATAATTGGTGGGAGGACACTGGTAAACAAATCCAATGTTCTAGTGCGGGCCAGAATGGTCACGTTCCCGAGCCGTAGCGAGCTTGGACCTTTGCCAGGGGCTCTGTACAGCACGCTAACGCTGCCGATGCCTTGATTGCTCCCGCAGGCCCCATTCACAACAAGAGAATACCGCCAGTGGCATACAATATGACACAGCATACATCTGGTATATAACAGACACGATCGTTCAGGAATCAAGCATAACATCATACATGACTGAGCGTCACTATCAAAGAATGACTCCGAACCCTGTGTTTGGGTTGTCAAAGGTTGTTTCTACCCAATTCTCGGCGGCTTATAAGTCGTCGGTCGTGTGGGACTGCACTCTGTAGCATCCACCTACATACAGTAGGTACGGTAGCGAATGTGCTGGGCACAGGTGGTCCAAGCTTCACCTTCACCTCTAGGGGGTTATCTAATCACCGTTTTCGGCCTGAGATTCGAGGCTTGATGTTTTCGACCAGAACCGTCACGCCTCTGGAGAGTACCTCTTGTGCAAACTTAGATTGGTGTCCCAAACCTGCTTGAGAGGCTCTTCCTGTGCTCTTTCCCCTCATTCTCGGTCGTTTCGTCCTCAAAAACTCGCTCTCGGCTTTCTCCAGTGTTTCACAGCCGAGTTCCCATCTGAAGTGCGGGCTGTAACTCTCTAGCCGCTGTATTGTTGAGGACTAGCCCAGCGCGATTCCACTAAAAATCTGTCTTTCTGCGGGCACTTGCGAAAGACCACAACGCGACCACGCGAATCCATCCTGCACCCAGCGCAAACCGTTCTATCACCCATTGTACGGGCTGCAACAGGCAGAGGCCATTTTTTGCCGGATCAGTGCATTGCGCTGCACATTGCGACTCGATTGCATCCCTGCACGATGGACCACAAGCGCAAGGCCAACGGCTCGAACGGAACTGGTGTCGGTAACGGCGATGACAGAGCGGCAAAGCGACAGAAGGGCGCGAGTGTAAGTTTCTTCCCTGCGTGCTGGATGTGGTATTCGAAGCTTCGAGCCTGCACTGCGATTGTTGAAGGTCGAGGAAATGGGTGTGGTTGCTCTGGCTTTGGCTCGCCCGTGGCGGGAATCAAATGCAGGGTTGATGCCGAGCGGGCAAGGCGGCCATCTTGCACCTCGACTATGCCCAGTCATCCTCGTTTGCGCCGTCTCCCCGTCAAGACTCTTCACAAACGCCTGCTCATTCTATCCTCAAGAACCCACAAAGCTAACCAGCCGCTACGCATCACAGGACGGCGACCTCAGCAAAGGCGAAACCCCTGAGTCCACCTCCGTAAAAGGTCTTGCCTTTCTCGAGCAAATCAGGAAGACCGCAGACAAGCAGTAAGTCCCCATCAATGCCTCCACTCCGCCTCTTACTTCTTCAACGATCAGCATAACAGCACTGTCAACGGTGTACTCTTTTGAAAATGCCCCTTCATTATCCCCGCGTGCATCTACAACGCGCATCTTCTCCTCGACACTTGAGTGGCAGCATGCTAATTATCATCGCTATAACAGTGGCCGACCCGTCGCGGGCTATTTTGAGAAGCTTCTTCCCAGGGATGGGAACGAAGACTACTACCAAAAGATCCGCTTGCCAATCTCGTTGGAGACAATTGAGCGCAAGCTGAACAATCATGAATTTGCTACAATGTCAGAGTTGGAGAGCTACATGAAGCGAATGGTCACCAATGCCAAAGAGTACTATACAAGAAATTCCGATATCTACGACGATGCCGAGCGTGTGCGGAAAGCTACTAGCAATTACATGACTAAGAACAATCCTGCCTACAAGCTAATTCCCAACTACTCGGCTATCGCGACCCCTATACCTGCAGATGGCGATCAGGAAGAACAAAATGACGTTCGGCCAGCGCGATCATCAGCCAGGGCCAAAAAGGAAGTAGAAGAGGTAGAAGAGGATGCCGAGGGTGAAGACGAAGACGAGGATGCTGATGGTGAGGAGGATGAAGATGCCGATGGCGAGGCCGATGATGACGCAGATGAGCCAGTTGCGCCAAGGCGCAGAGGCCCCGGACGGCCACCCAGGGGCGATATTACCAGCACACCAAAAGTAGCTGACAGATCATCAATTGGTGGAGGGAAGGCGGACACTCAATACGAGAATGTGGCCTATAACGGCCTCACATTCCAACAAGCCCAGGAAAAGATTGTCGAGGAGCTTATTCGCCGGAAGGAGGAAGAGTATGGACTCCCTGAACTCCGTTCTGTGCTTGACTAACCATTGTCCCAGGGACGAGTGGGCATATTTCGAGCCCTTTATGAATCTTCCTCCCCGCGCTTTGAAAGACTACTACCAGCTCATTGAAGAGCCTATCTCCTTAAAGAAGCTGCAGAAGCTCGTCAAAGGAGTTCATGGCAGAGGGGATGCGACTGGTGTGAGTGACTTCAAAAGCTGGGCTGCCTTTGAAGAGAAAGCTAGTTTGCTCTGGGAAAATGCCTTCTACTACAATGAGGAAGGCAGCGAGATTTCAGAAATGGCCAAAGAGCTGAAGGTCAGTTCACTCCTTTGTCGTTGCGTGGCCAGCTCACTCACTCATATAGGATGCTTTCTATGAGGAACTTCAAGATGCCAAGGAAGCTGTTGATGAACCCCCTCAACCCAAGATCAAACTCAAGTCAGTTTCAGCTTCAGCTTCAACATCAGAACCACCCAAGCCGAAAAAGATCACCATTCACGTTGGCGGGCGGGATAGCTCTGTAGGATCTCCTGCACCTGCTACAGGACGAAGCGGCTCGGCGCACTCTGATGCCATTCCGAACGGCGCTGCAGTACGAGCTCCGTTCACACAAGCAACCATGAGCCTCGGACCACTTGACCAGGCACGAAGCTTGTCCATTTCAGGCGCTTCTCCAAGTCCTTCCGCAGGCGTTAAGCGCGAAGATGCGAATCGCCAATCGCCAGCTGTTGGAATGCGTCCTGTTAACGGCGTACCTCTCCCACCTGGTGTAGCCCCAGCTGGTTACAATGGTCAGCCGCAACATCCGGGTTTGCCTAATGGACACAGTCAAGCAGCACCGAGCCCCGGCTTGCCGTACGACATCAAGTACCGATTGCCCGGTAGAAGTATGATTTCCCTCTGCTTCATTTAACACTTCTACATGCTAACCATCTCTCAGCTGCTGCAGATGCTCTGATTACCAATCTATGCATTCGAACTCAGATGAGCCTGAACCAGGACCGGCGGTTTGTTTTCAACCTGCCTGCGCATCCAAAAGAGGCCCAGCAATCAGTCACTATCAACCTGCCCATCACTCAGTGGAAGATCCAGGTCATCCCTCGCATCAATCAGTCCCTGGAGGCTCAAGGGCGGCCATACAAGCTGTTTGTGATTGTCAACGGACAAACTATGGGTCGGCAGATACCGTCGCCTCAAGACCCAGTTGATCCTGGTTGTCAGCTATTTGATGTGCAGCTCCATGCCGGTGTGAACACCATCATGGTCCAAATGATTGCAGCTGTGCCGAAGGGCCAGAAGCTACCCAATGGAGCAGACGCAGAGCTGGAGAAGATTACGGTCTTGGCCAATCTGATTAAGTACTAGTGGTAATAGCAGATCAGGCTATCTCTGTGTGTATAGCTTTTCTCCTGCATTTGATGGCGGTTCGGTAGGTGGCGTTTCTGGAATAAAGGTCGAGTCTTGACGATCATGGCAAAAGCTCCTTGTTTAGGTCTCATGTACCAGCTCCGCTTTGCTTATAATAAATCTGTGGGTGTAAGGAGTCTTTCGAAAGGAATTTGAAGGTCAGGATGAGGGCAGTCTGGCCCGCTGGCTTGCACAACGCAGCGTCCTCGAATGTGGAAAGGAAAGGCTTCGATGTAATTAAGATCTTGACATGTCGGAGTACAAAGGATGTATCAATAAACATCGATGATTTTGTTAGAGGCTCCTGATCCATCTATTTGCATTTCAGCCTAACCTAAGTAATACAAGAAGCATGCAAGAAGTCAACTTATCTCATAAACAAGTCGAGATTGGCTGTACAATCAGGTTGCCCCATAAGGTAAAGAGCATCCCCAACCTGGAGCTGGAGAGGTCAGTCTGGTCACGATAAGATAACGTTAAGCTTGTGTGCAGGTGGTGGGAGATATCTTGCGCTAATCCGTTTCAGGACGGCAGTGGGGAACCTGGGAAGGCGAGGGACTGGACCGAAAAAAAAGTTCCACCGCCAAAAATTTCAAAAATTGTGAACTCTCAAATCTGCCCCACGTTGATTTTGGGTCTCTCTTCTTTCTCCTCTTCACAACCTTTCCTCTCCTCCCTGAGAAAGATCACATCGTCGCAACCATGGCCGAAGAAGTGTATGATGGTGCCATCGGCATCGATCTGGGTATGTATATTTTCTCCTCCATCCAGCAATTGCAATGACATCCTCCATCTTGCTGTCGGGAATGCGCCTCGCTGACCGATTGTCCGCCTTTTTCGCTCTACAGGTACCACCTACTCCTGCGTTGCCACATACGAGGGTAACAATGTCGAGATCATCGCCAACGAGCAGGGTAGCTTCACTACCCCCTCGTTCGTCTCCTTCACAGAGGAGGAGCGATTGATCGGTGAGGCTGCCAAGAACCAGGCTGCCATGAACCCGGTCAACACCGTCTTCGATGTCAAGTCAGTAGACCCAGCTTATATATCAAAATGATCTCTCGCTGACCTGCATTCATCCAGGCGACTGATTGGCCGTCGTTTCGACGACCCTACCGTCAAGAAGGACATGGAGTCATGGCCCTTCAAGGTTGTCGACGAGGATGGCAACCCCAAGGTCCAGGTTGAGTACCTCGGTGGCACGCACACCTTCTCCCCCCAGGAGATCTCCGCCATGGTCCTCACCAAGGTAAGAACCTTCGCCGGTACTATTGTAAAATTTTCTATAATTCTAACGACTTCTTTAGATGAAGGAGATTGCCGAGACCAAGCTCGGCAAGAAGGTCGAGAAGGCTGTCATCACTGTCCCGGCCTACTTCAACGACAACCAGCGTCAGGCCACCAAGGACGCCGGTGCTATTGCCGGTCTCAACGTCCTCCGTATCATCAACGAGCCTACCGCTGCTGCCATTGCCTATGGTCTGGGCTCTGGCAAGTCCAACAAGGAGCGCAACGTTCTCATCTACGATCTTGGTGGTGGTACTTTCGATGTCTCCCTGCTCAACATTCAGGGTGGTGTCTTCACCGTCAAGGCTACTGCTGGTGATACTCACTTGGGTGGTCAGGACTTCGATACTAACCTGCTGGACTACTGCAAGAAGGAGTTCACCAGGAAGACCAAGAAGGATCTCAGCGGAGATGCCCGTGCTCTGCGAAGACTCCGAACTGCTTGCGAGCGTGCCAAGCGTACCCTCTCCAGCGGTGCTCAGGCTCAGATCGAGATTGACTCCCTCTTCGATGGCGAGGACTTCAACATCTCTGTCACTCGTGCCCGTTTCGAGGACCTCAACCAGAAGGCCTTCGCTGGCACCATCAACCCCGTTGAGCAGGTTCTTAAGGATGCTAGCATCGAGAAGAGCGCAGTTGACGAGATTGTGCTCGTTGGTGGTTCCACCCGTATCCCCAAGATCCAGAAGCTTCTGAGCGACTTCTTCGATGGCAAGAAGCTCGAGAAGAGCATTAACCCCGATGAGGCTGTTGCCTACGGTGCCGCCGTCCAGGCCGGTATCCTCTCCGGAAAGGCCACCTCTGCCGACACCTCTGACCTCCTTCTCTTGGATGTCGTTCCTCTGTCTCTTGGTGTCGCCATGGAGGGCAACATCTTCGCCCCTGTCGTTGCTCGTGGGCAGACAGTGCCGACCCTGAAAAAACGAACCTTTACCACCGTCGCTGATAACCAGCAGACCGTCCAGTTCCCCGTTTACCAGGGTGAGCGTGTCAACTGCGAGGACAACACCTCTCTGGGAGAGTTCACTCTTGCTCCCATTCCTCCCATGAAGGCTGGTGAGCCCGTTCTTGAGGTCGTCTTCGAGGTCGACGTCAACGGTATCCTCAAGGTCACTGCCACTGAGAAGACCTCTGGCCGCAGCGCCAACATCACCATTAGCAATTCTGTTGGCAAGCTCTCATCCAGCGAGATTGAGAACATGATCAGCGATGCCGAGAAGTTCAAGACCAACGATGAGGCCTTCAGCAAGAGATTCGAGGCCAAGCAGCAGCTTGAATCCTACATCTCCCGTGTCGAGGAGATTATCTCCGACCCGACTCTGTCCCTCAAGCTTAAGCGCGGACAGAAGGAGAAGATTGAGCAGACTCTCAGCGATGCCATGTCCCAGCTTGAGCTCGAGGAGTCCAGCGCTGATGACTTGAAGAAGAAGGAGCTGGCCCTCAAGAGACTTGTAACCAAGGCCATGTCCTCAAGATAAGCGAGCTCTTCTTGAGTTTGCTTGCTGTCATCGACCATTTCCATCGACGAATCACGATGTAGTCTGAACAGCCTACGAAATGATTTTGGCATGACTGGTTTGAATTGCCAGGAAACGAAACGCATCATGACGCAGTGTGATCTGGGACCTAAAAAGTTGGAGGCAGCTGGACTTGAAACTGGCTGGTTGTCTTTGGTCATTTCTTCTTATCGTTTGTTCACTTGGCAGTCACGACATGGAGGGGACAGAATCCCCAAGATTGACGATGCATTGCTTCCTTTCTCTCCTAATTCCGCCCTCACCCACGATCTCTCTCCTGCTCTCACTCCCTACACACGAAACCCACTCGGCGCAATGCATGTAGACTAGGTAGGGAGGACGGCCCTCAAAATGGTATACTGGTCTGAATAAAGGAAGTTGCCAAGACATCTTTTTTATCTTGTTGCTATTGTGATATGCTGTGTTGTAACATTGAAAAATTGCTGCATTGTGATGAGTGTCTGAAGTGCCTTGGGCATCCTTCGCGAATCCAGGGCCATCATGTTAGTTGATGAATCATTAATCATTGAGGTTGTCTCGAAGTTGAGTAATTGAGCCGCAGTTCTACGTGAATGGAATATGAAGTTGTTAATTGTCGGTGTAAGTTTGTCGTCGCTGGCAAAAATGGGTCAGTTTCCGTGGCTTGGGCGAATCCCAATACAGCGTTAGGACGTGCAGTCTTGCCACTCTGCTTAACTCTCACTCTACAACACCAATTACCGTACGCATTGGCTGTCTGACCGGCATCGGCATCACATCGTCTTTCAAGAACGGATGGTCTATTTTCCAGAGACCATTAGCTGCCATTTCTGGCCCAATTCACATCGATCAGAGTAAATCATGTCACTTTGCACATTCTCCTACTTCTTCGATCTACCGCCAGAGATTCGTGAACAGATCCTCCAGTATCTATGCATCTATCCCAAAGGCATCGAAGTTGGCCACGCCGCCTCTGATCGCGATGCAGACAAGCCCCAGCCGCTCAGCGCGTGGGCCGAGTGGTATGAGCCCAGGGCGCCCACGATCATCCAGTATGTGCTGGATTTATTCCTCGTGAACCTCCAGTTCTACCGTGAGGCATCGGCGATCTACTTCGGCCAAAACGTCTTTCATCTCCATGCCGTTGGCCGCCGCAACAAGGGCTCGCAGTTGCTGGATCCTACGGCCGGCCTGCTCGCCGCCGAGGCATTCAGGCCATCAAGGCGGCGCATCCGGCACGCCGTGCTCCATCTACGGCGGCTGAGTGGGCAGTTTCAGACGGACGTCGCCCCGGCGCTGTTCGACATGATTCTCAACGGCAACCTGCGCATCCTCGAGTTTCACTTCGCGCCGCCGTTCAGCAGTAGCTGGAATCTACACGCATCAACAGTCGGCGTGACAGACCCGTCACCGGCCTATCTAGCCCAGAGCAGGCCATTCATTGAGCTGATGCGCCTGCTCACCGACCCGGATCTGGAGCGGGCCGGGGTCGCTGTCTCCGCCGCCCGGCACTGGAGGCTGTGGTGCTCGCTACATGCGAAGCCGTGCAACTCACGTGGGCACGAGCAGCCTTGCCTAAGCACGTGGGGTGCAGTCGGGCGCCGGGGAGCCTCCGAGGACGAGATGCTTGACGTTGACGTCGGCCAGCTAATAGCACAGTACGGAGAGATAGGCGACCAGTTGCGCATTTTCGAAGTTGGGGACTAGACGCGTCTACGTCTGCTAGGTCCCATTGGACCTGTGTCTGGGCACGTACAGACAATGTTGCCACGCGTCAGCAGGAGCAACTACGAGCATCTCACTACGACGGCCATCTGCCGTTGAAAGCCGTGGTGCTGCGATCTGGGGTGTGGTGCATTATATCAGACCACCGAGTCCCCGGGTCGCCCCGCAAACTGGCTGGCTCGATTCATGGGGGCAAGCCCCGGACGAGATGGCTCGAGAGACTGCTGTTTGCTCTCGACATACGGTCTATGAAGTTCTAGACAATGTCTGTCATTGCATCCCAGAGAAGTTCTCCAGCTCTCAGTCCTGGGGTGGCATTTGGAGTCGCTCTAGGCTTCTTGGATACCATCTCCAATAGTGGGGCATCAAAGTTCCGGAAGAGAGATCCGGGTGTCGTTCTCCTAAAAAAACATTTCCCCTAGAAATATACTCCGCTATTGTTTTGAGATGTCTCGTCGCTATCTTTACATTCTCAAACATATCTGGCGCTATGGACGATCGCCGCTATGACAGCCGATCATTACTTGGCAAGATTCACAGCAACGACTCCCCTGTCTGCGGATGCTGCCAGCTCAACACAAGCTTCACTACAGCATCGGGCTCGCAAAAGACTTTTCACGATAATTAGGTTGCCTCTTCACATGTATTAGAAGAGATGACAAGAATAATTTGGGCAACTGTTTTAGGCAGGTGCATCCAGAGCTCAAAGAGGGCTGAGAAGTGTGCCGTGGCTCTCCAGATACAAGTGCATCCATCTTGCATCCGAAGGCTCCCTATCAAACGGCCGAGCTAATGCATAGATGGGTGCATTTCGCACTTTACTGGTCAAGCTGGGCATCATGAATTTTTGCATTTGTACACATGCATTCTGCTCTCCTGCAGATGCTTTTGGATTTCTGCGCTTGTAAACTTAGCTTGGGAGCGCGGGATCTCACGGATCTCACTAAGACGACTTCTAAGCCGGGCAAAAGGAGAGAAGGCTACGGGTGGAAATCGGTTTCCCCTCTCAACTGAATCAGTGTGTAATTTCACAGGCGTTTTGACCCAGCATCTGCCTGGTTGCTGAATTATTATCCATTCGTCATTTGTCAGTGGAATTCCACAATTGATAACCTTGATAGACAGTTTCAAACCGCGTCAGCCAGTCTCCAGTGCCACCGACGATCTCATTCACACCGCACATCCACAAAGGTACACGGTCGCACGGCAACTTCGCAAAGGCTCTTGGCAACTTGTAGATAGATTGATTCCTTGTACAATACGTCTCAGAGCATACTATTGATAGTCCTCGAAATAGAAAAGCAAAAAAGTGATAATCATTGCGCCGTTTCAGCCGAGCTTGGCTCTGTTCCGTCTATAGTTATCCGTTCATACCTTTCTCCCAATTTGCTTCGTAACTCCTGTTCACCAATAAAGCTGATATTCGCCATATCCGTTCATAACGTGAAATAAAGATAACGTTGTGGTGGTATTTTGTCACTTTTCGGTTCGTCGCATCGTAATAAGTAACACAACCCTGCAGCAGAAATGAAGTGTCCCTTTGCACGCCAGCCTTTGATATCGTGATTATTCATCGAGGTGTGTTCTACTCGATGGCAACCTCGTGCCAGTCGCCCTTGTGATCACCAGCGTGCTCGCCGTAGTGAACGGGAGCGAGCTTCAGGACGCGCATCCGTGCTGCACCTCCGTTGCTGCTCTGAGAGGAGGTGCGTCGCTTGGTCGGCTGAGGCGCCTTGGGGTAGGAGTTTGATGTGAGAGGCGCCAGAGACAGGAAGGTGTGAGGTGTGTGCTCAGCGGCCTCGGGGATGAAAGCCTGAGCACGAACATCGAGCTCACGGAGCTCCTCGACGCTTGGAGTTGTTGCAGTAGACGACATATTGGCTTTGGTTGTTCGTTTGTAGAGTGGAGAGTTGTCTAAGTCAAGCACAAGGTTTGGTTGAGACTTGTAAGATGAAGATGGGAATATAACACTTTCTGGATAGCCAGAGAATAAGTGATCCGAGGAAGCCGTTTGATGTAATAAGACAGAGAACCAAGGAGCGAGTCAGACATGGGAGAGGAAGAAGCGTGCTTATAAACTTCCAAGAAGAGCAGTCGTACTCATCCCAAGCGTCGGTTCCACCCGAGCCTAGACGCCAGCCTACTGGGCTGCAATAACATGAGACCTGGCCCCCCTCCAAGTTTCGATTTACAATTTCACATGTGTGACGACCCCAATATCCCTGAGCCGCTGGCCGCGCCAGTTTCAGGGAATGTACCATGATATGACCTAGCGACCCAGACATGGTGGGGATTGCACCTCCGTGATTGGAGTTGTACTCTTCTATCAGGTACAGCCCCCCGGCACCTCGCACGTGGGGCTGCCATTGGTTAGGACGAAAAAGAAAAGGTCCCGTGAGTAAGAAATGCCTTTGCTATCCGCGCTGTCCGCGGGGTGCAAGCGGCGTGTCAAAACCGAGTGTCATTTGTGCGACAGCTGGGAAGCAAGCAACGCCATCTCACGATGGAAGAGGTGTCAAATGAAGCATCAACAAGAGATTCACTTTGATATCGACGGAGACTGTGGGGACCGCCTGCGGCTCCGTGCCAAACCCGGGGCCGTCCACAGGACGCGGTTTTCCAGGGTCCCTTCGGGCCTCGGGAAACGTTGATTGGGTGGTCCGGGAAGCACAAGAGGATTTCTCGGGAGCTACCTCGTCGACAGATACAACGAAGAGCATACCACACCACAATCAGGCACACACACCATGACATGTGGAGTGCGGGGGAGCTCTCCGCAGCATCTGTTCAGGTTTCTCCAATCTTAACACCATGGCGCATAATCGTCTTATTCGGAGGTCTATATGTGCCTGTTGTCGCAGACCGAGGCTAGCCGCACGGCGCATTTTACCTTCGTAAGGTGGAAACTCTACCAGAGGAGGTTTCTGGCGGCACGGACACTCCCATGATGCTGCATTGGTGGCGGACCCAGAGGGCTGAAGAGCACGAGATCGTTCGTGCGCTTTGCGATTTTGACGCTTGCCCTTAGTAGAGAATTGCAAATGACCAGATTACTGACATCTACTTCTCCGCCAGGATATCAAACCTTATCTATTAAAGGGTGAAGATACTCAATATTACAAGTCGTAACACTCCATCAGATCTCGAAGGTTCTGTTTATTACTCCAGGTCTTTCAACTTCTACAATGGTGGTAACCTCTCGTTGAGGAGGTAATGCTGTCGGTGCGGAACTGCCATTCATTACCCTGGCGAAGGAGTATTGCTATCCAACATAGGCAGCTATACAGAAAGAGTAAGCTTGTATTGCCGCCACAATCATACATGAACACAGTACAAGCCAATCTCACCCACGAGTATGATTTCAATGTCTTCAACCCGGCGACCGACGTGGAATCATTGTGGTCCATACTTTCGGGAGGAGATATCAACACCTAGAGAGCCGTCAAATCTGATGACGTCTTTCAGATGTTTCATCGAACATCTGGCGCCCGTGTCTGTGAAAGTCTCGTCAGTCACAGAGCCATACGACAGGTGATTTCTTAACTCAAGAAGACAAAGTCACTTTGGTTGCCTACGGTGCGGATCGCAGTAGTTCTGCCTGTCTGTGCATGGAGTTGATTGGTGATGAATACTCATCGGACTCGCTCCGCTCTCCGAGGTTCAAAATCGTGAAAGAGTGGATGGCCATGGTTCTCCTGTGGCACTGTCCCGCCCGAGGCAGTTTCTCGCGGGCCGTCGCATCCACTGACTAGCATCATGGACAGATCCGTCTCGAGATTAGCATGTTTGCCAGCACACCCGTGCAATCTCTTCACCGCAGCGTGGAGCATGGGTTTTCACCAAGAACGCTCATGCACGGTCTCCGGTCACAACTCTGCAGGGAGATGCTGCACAAGATGAGTACTTCAGGGAGACTTCATGGCGGAGAGCAGCTGATGAGATGCTCCATTCGGGCATCTAGACGATGGGCATGTTTTGGAGAAGTTGGCGGTCTGCAAGTTGGGTCACTGTGATGAGACGGCATAACAAGAGTGTCCAAAGTGGGACATGATGTACGATCAGCGGGTCATTTCCTTTCAGACAAGAAGGAAATATCCCGCTAATATCGGTACCGGATGGTTGACTGGAGGAGGTTCGTTTGTTGGCAATGTGGTCGGTGAGCTGCCTGTGGGTAAGGGAGGGTGACGAGGGGGCACCCACCAGCTCAGGCAGGTGTTGCGTCCAGCAATTCACTGAGGCCCCTGTCTCCACCTCATTGATTCCAGGAGAGCCGGTCCGTCTTGGGGCGGCAGACATGCTGCATATTGAAAGTATAGAGGCGGTGGACAAGGTGTCAGGCCCAGATGTGAATCGAGTTGCAGAATCCATGCTTAGCCTTTGCTGCTAATACTACTGCGGCCGGGATCTCAGACTGGTATCTGGGTGGGTTTCATGGGTTAAAGTGCTCTGTCATGACGGGGATATGTCTCCAAGAGTATTTAGGCAGCTCAAGGGCATATCTTTGCCTACAATGATACCATGTCGACGTGGAAATGCTAGCATATGGGATTCTCGACAGGGGCTTACCGCGGAAGTAAGCCGAGTTCTAACAAGCTGAACACACGGGAAGTCCTGTCAAGAGCTTGCGAGATCCACATCAAGACCTATTGAACAAAAGAATCGCCGGCCGTGAAGGTGAAGCTTACTATGTATCCGATCCAAGAATGGGTGGGAGAGAATCCGGGGGCGGTTGACAGCGGCCTGTGATTGGCTGGAGTTGTCGCTTGACGCAGGGCGATGCTCAAGAGGCGTCTCGTTAACGCCCCAACCCTGGCATTGGGAAACTCGGTAATGATTTCTCATCATGATCTATGCAAAGTCCTGGTGCTTTCGACAACTTGGCTGATTCCCATGGTCAGTAATCAGAGCTTCACTGTAAAGTATTCTCGCGCAAATTACCGAAAGATACGGTTGTGACGCCACGATAGGGAAGGCTTAGGCGCTCAGGCCATTGTTCAATAGCATCAACTTCGGAGTCTGTGTAGAACGCTTTGAACCATGTCAGCAAGTCACAACTAGAGGATCACTCGTGTCTGTTTCAACCGAGGCGCACAACAAAAACGTCTCATTAACGGTTTCACTCTCGGCCTTACCAAAGTAGGTTGCACGTTGTATCCGTATTCAAGGTTATTGCCGTCAAACCAGCCTATAAGATGTTGGGGATATATGCCCGGAAAGCCTAGTCAAGCCAAGGTCGTGGGAAAATCAACAGTAGTGGAACCAAGGCCGTTGACAGCTAGGTATAGGCTTAAGCGGAGACAGCCTTCGAATGACTCCTCTGGCATAGATGACAAGAAGGTGCCATAGAATGTGGAGCTACCAAGGCTGGTAATGTCGGGCTTGCAGTAAGGCGAATCTAAGTGAGCATGGCAGGGCTAAATTGCAATCAAGGAGGCATCAGCTAGCCCAACGTGCAAGAGGAGAAACACCAACACGTAAACCATTCGTAATATGATGCGAAAGCATAGAGACATCAGGGAAATCTAGTCACAGGTGGTGACATGAAGCTGAATGCCGGACGGGGACAGCCGAGGAGGGGATGGCCGCCTGAACGGCCGCATGAGAGGCGTGTTGGTCGTACCGGGTAGTTGGCAGCCTACAGAGCCCCATGGCCCCCTGTCTGCCTCGAAGAAAGATGTAGTGCCTTGATTGCTCGTAAAGTAATAGAGCATAGCCAGAATGTATTAGCAATAAGTTACTGACGCCAATTATCCGTGCCCAAAGTGTTAATGAGGGAAGAACGTTTTCCTTGCATTCTGATTATAGTGTTCCGTGGTTTCAGTCTTCCTGAAAGCTTAGATAGATGGAGATCCAGAAAAGGAATTTCATAACATTAGGACAGATGTAAGTAATAGTAAGGCGAATCGAATAGATGGCTATCATGGAAGCGGGAAGAGATGATGGGAGATCTAGCTGCGATCTTCGGGCGCCACAATATGAGACCAGAACACTCCTCGCCTGGACTTGTCCACTTAGTGGCGTTGGTAGGTACAAATCTCTCGATCTGCGTTTCCATGAGTACGGCCACGACAATTCTGACGGTCTTTTTTCCTAGCTGAGAGGATATAACAAATGTTGAGAGTTGCAATACACATCAAAATCTCGAAGATTCGGTCTATTACCTTGTATTCTCACCTTCTATCAAGGTAGTAATCCCTCGTTGAGTAGATAATGGTACCCTGGTCAAACCAATATCGATTACCCTTCTGCCAGACGTCACCAAATTCATCATTTCCGTACCATTGTTTCGGTACACAAAGGGCCATGTTGGTGATTAGTCTGGCAACTAGTCATCCTAATCTGACTTATGAGTCTGATTCAACCTGTAATCAGACTGCCCAAAAACAAGTCTTCGATACATAACCCCCTTCTGGCGAATCCAACGGTTTTTGGCAGGGTTGACAGTCAGGCGGCGATTCGCCTTGATCAGAACCAAGACCGTATTGTTCCCAATTTACGCAGGTATCGCTATCTATGCGCCCCAGTTCCCATTCTGACTCATGATCGTCTGTGAAACTTGTATGATCTGAGTTTGATTCTAGGACAGATCTCTCGCTATGAGCGGAGCATGCGTGTATGCGGCGGCTCACAGATGCTCACCATGCGTAAACCATCGCCGCACCTTGATCACGAGATCAATTACTTCCTTTCTATATTCATGCACACATGTGAGAAGACTGTGGCATAAATACTGACTTCTTTGTTTTCCTTAGTCGGTGAACAGGTAGCTATCATAGCTCGTTTATCACCCTTCAGGCAAGGTCCAACTTGAGAAAAGGTCACGGGTATGAGGGTAGGATTGTGGTCACTGATGCTCACAACTCCGTTGGAACGCTT